TCATATATGAAATTAAAATTAAATTAAAAATTAAAAAAAAAAAAACGGGTATCGCTTGTACCACTTTCGTGTCCTCCTAAGTCCTACCATACTTACATAAATTTTCAAATTCAATAATTTCCTTCAGTTTAAATCGTAAATAAATAATGAATTACAATATTAATAAACCAAATGACTTACGTATTTAGGTAAAAAAATCAAAATAATGTTAAAAAAAAAATCAGTAGAAAAAAATATATCTTGGTATATTCGACATTAAAAATGAAATATCTGTCATGCAATACATCAATACATATTACTATATTACACAAAAATAAATTCAGCTACTTATAATCTATATAAATAAAACTTAAATAATAATCGTATTAAAATAAATCATTAAACATAAGTGTTTGTATTTTATCTATAAAAATATATTTTTATATTCATTATTTTCAAGTTATCATTTTTAGCTTTTTGAGCTTTTCAATTCCAAAATTCGTGAATTCAAATAAAATTTTGGAGTGTAGGATATTACTCAAATTTTTTTCAGTTAAAAATTTCCCTGAATAAGAAATCTCACTACCTTTGATTTTCAGGTAAAAATGTTATTCGTGTAGCAATTTACATTTGGCCATAACAAATGGGAGGGGTTGGGGTTCTCATTTGAAAAACAGAAGTTTGTATCACCACAGGACAAGTTGAACAAAAAATCTCTAGAATTTTAAAATATGCGTATAGTCTTTCAATGACATTATAACAATTCCAAAAATCAGAATTTGAATAAATTCAAATAGATGCAGATGAGCATGCTTGATGTATCACTCTGTACATAGCATTTTCTGCTGTGACGTTAAACAGTAGATGAAGAATTTTCCGATAACATCAATTTGTTATAATACTACTCAGGGTGCGAACTGCGAAGGAAATATCTGACGAATGTAACTTTGTTATTAACCAACTATAATAATGTGTATGAAAGTTTGTTCTTATCGTACCTGTTACGATAAAAACACAAATAATTTGATAATGTTATTCTGATAATGAGTCATGATTAGCGTCATGATTTCACTGCATTTTGTTCGAGGTGTGGAGAACATAAAACATTGCAGTTATAAACTTAAAACAAAATGTTTGCTATAGTGTAATTTTTATTAGCAACATAAAATATAATATTTAATTAATATTAGCTGCTGATTTCGTTATCATATTTTTTGTAAAAAAAAAAATTCACACGTATAATAGATGTATTGTATATAATATATATATATATTATATTGTTATAATTATTCTTTCACTTTCTATATAGATGGTATTATAATTATAGTGCAGCATAACGACCTGAGTCATTAAATGCGGGGGAGAAATAATATTTTGTAACACGATATAATGCGTATATTTTATTTTATGTTTCGTATCGCTTTTGTGGATAGTCATTAAAACGTTCAAGTAATAAGCACAACTATTATCGTACATTTTTCATTTAATTTATGAGTTTTCAATAAAGATAAAATATAATCTATCATCGCAATATAATATTATTATAACATGCATATTGTATAAATTAAAAGCTTTTAGATACTCAATATTGACACAAAATGTTGTGTGCACGCCGTGAGCTGTAAAATGAAAATATACCTATATCGTGGAAAATTGAAATGTAGGTAAAGTAAACACTTTTAATGATTATTTTTTTTTTTATAAAACGAGAATAAGACACTAAACTATTGATAAAGCGCTATGTAAATATGACCTTTTGTTCGTTATTACATTTATACTTGTGTATAACAGAACCTTGTGAAGGAAGTGTTTTTGTTTCGTAATCGTTAATACAACTAAAATGTCCATGTAAATGTAAAATAATAAATTCTGTTATTACGAGCCCTCGAGTTTTGCTTGAAAATTGTATGTCAACTCAGCAAATGGCCAAGATGCAGAGGTTCAAATAATTGAATAAAAACCATGTTGTTGTTGTTTTATATTTTTAAAGATTTGTTAATGATTCAGAGCGGCGGACATTGTAAATTGTATTCAAATGTATATTTATTGAAACAAAGTTTCATGGATACTAACTCCAATTTAAAATATGATAAATATTATAAATGATTGTATCTCCACTCGCACTTTTTACTATTTGCATGGATACTAATAAATAGCAATAATTATTATTAAGTTGCATTTACCAATAAGTATATAATATTATGTCAATTTGTAAATAATTATAATTTATAAGCCATTTTAAAAATATAGAAAATATTAATATTTTAAAACAAGAAATAACAAAAAAAAAACGGCTAAGTGGATGTCGCTCTGCTGTACAGTAGGTTACAAACTTGTATTAAACTTAAATTCAATGATATTCTATCATTGTATAAGAAAAACCAGATCAAAGCACTAATTCTGGTAGAAATTTTGTATACAGGATAAAAAAAAAAAAAAAATAAATAAATAAACACCATTGTAAAACCACTAGCTTCCTCGCTCCGCTCAGAATCTAAAAATGTATATAATATTGTAGATGCACATGCAGATAGTCGAAAATTATTTGTACGATAGACGATAGTAAAGTATGATAATATAAAAATGACTTTTCGTTAAAATTAAAATAGTTTAATTATACTCATATCGAGTGTTAAGGATGAGTGGAGATAATTAAAATAAGACCTTACAATTACGGTTGGGCATTTTTTTTTTGTGTTTTTTTTATATAGGCAGAAACGGCCAAGAATTGACAATATTATAATTTAACCCTTTCACTACCACTGTCCATCTCAATGGACATGCATTTATATTCATTACTGAACATCAACATTTGATTACAATGACGTTATTTTACAATTTAATTGTTCGCTAAATTGTATAGATTAAGATAACCGCCTATAATTTATCTATAAATGATAAGGTTTTTGTAAATTAAATTTATGACCATAAATAAAAATAAAGTAAAAAAAAAAATATTGGTCGAGTACAATTAAATGGGTAATGAAAGGGATAATGTCATATATATATATGTATATATTTTTTAATCACTTAAGTCTACTGAAAAAAAAATGGATTTTCTTGCACTAATTATTAGAGTGCACTGACCTCTTTCACATTAATCGGTGAGTTAAAAAAGTCTGCGTGGTCGGGATTGAAGGTATGATGTTAACGTCATTTAATCATACCTGGCGCGAGGAGATCAGCTCTTGTGACTAATATTATTGTTATCACAGAAATAATAATGAACAATTTTATCGTATAATTATAATTGGCGTAGGTAGGTATATAGACACAATATTATCTATCGTTTGTTCACCGTGAACAGACCGTCAGAGCGATGCATTCATATTATATTTTGTAATCGTATCCGGCTTACACAAATGATATCCAGTGCTCAACTGTCGACGTACTGTTTTATGACGATGACAGTGGAAACCGTTTCTAGTCGTTGTCCGCACGTCATCGATCACGGACCACAATGACCTGCAGTCATCATCACTGATGATCGGACTAAACAATAATATTAATACAATATCGGACAGTTTGAACTTTGAAGCTTTGTCCAACGGCCGTTATCTGGTTTTTGAAGTCTTGACGAGGGCTTTTGCATCATCGTTGCAAGGTAAGCTTTCCGTTATTATGATATTATAATATAATCGTATATTTTAACATGGCCTCGAAACTATTATTGGGATACGAGATCGTCGATAAAACAATATAATATTATTATTGTTTTATTCAATGATACCTACGCAGTAACGTCCTTTTGCAATCAGTCTATTATCTCAGATGAATCAAACTCGGGTTCGTTAATTGTTTCGTTATTGAAATATATAACAATAGGTGACTTGACATTGCATTACATCGCATTCGCAGTTATTAACACTTGACATATTATTCTGTCATCCGCGTCGAGTACTCGAGTATTTACTTTTATTATAAACAATTATTAAGTACAACTTTCTTACAAATGAAATTCATACAACAATAATAATAATTATAATACGTCCTATTATACGTTGACATAATAATATTTCAATAACACAAACGCGTTTACACATTACACGGCGTTAAGAATTGGCAATTTAGGTACACCCGTGTCGTGTAATTCATTGCACGATATTTTATGGGTATAATAATTTATAATTATGTGATAAACTTATAACAGTGATTAAAGAATATAATCATTGGTCATAATATAGTAATGTACATTACTAACGCATATTACTACGTATAACCCATATCGCTTTACTGCTATTCATGTAATTCAATAATAATAATAAATTTCTGACTACCACAGTATTCCTGGATTTGAACAAGCTTTTCGCGGGTATACAGCTGTCGTAAGTACATTTTATCGGTATTAAGGAGCATTAAATTGTCAACCCAACACATCTTATTATTGTATGAACATTGAACAATTAAACAGATGAATTAAAAATTTTAATTTTTAATGGTTCCTTGCCTTACAATCATTATCAATAATGTAGTGTTCTATACATTTATAATACCTAGTTGATTTGTTAGTGTTTATTGTATACATTTAATATAAATAAATAAAATGCTCTGAAATAAATAGGTATTAGATATAATTTTTTTTAAATTTGTCTTTATAAATAATATTACAATAATGTATTGAGCTGCATTGGCAATGATATGGATTGTGCTTAAATTAATGCCACAAGCATATATTTCATTCATACGATTGCATTTTTATTTAAAGTAGCACACATACTTTTTAGCATTTAATTCGTTATTGGTTAAGAACTATTTGTATGTAAAATAGTTAAAAAATAATTTATGAATAATAATAAAGAATTATCTGCAATTTACACTTAGATCACAAACCTTGTGCATTCGCATGTTATATATTTACCACGGTATATTATACAATTTATAATCGGGCTATGAAAAAAATCGTATCTATGGAGGATATAACAATCATTCATCAAAACAAACACGTCGACCCTGACGCTAAAAAACAAAGTCATCTTCGGCGCCACAGCCCTATAGTGTTTTGTTTTGCTTATCGATTCAATATGTTTAAATACTTCATTGCTGGCGTGCCCAAATGCCAGGACTTCGGTCACGTCAAACTCGTCGCCGAGAAATTAAGACAAACTCTTCCCACTTTCTCGTATAAAGTTATAGTAAAAACTGAAGAAGAATATCGAGTATGTAATTATTATGACGGGTATTCAATTATTTATGCATCGATGTGGTACACAGTAATATTATTGCCAAACCATATTATTATAATTTATAAATTATAATACATTATGTATATTAGCTGTCCAGTGAGATAACGCCTACCAAAATTGGTTTTTCTGGGTATTCCCACTCGACACCTCGTCACAGGGCAACCACTAACATAGGGTTTCGAAATCAGGGTGACGCGGGGTGAATGCGCAGAATCAGCGCGTTCTCTCGTTTGACCGAGTATAGTTATGTTTAATTGGCCTCACTATACTGCCGTCGATTTTAGCTGAAAAGACCTCAAATTTTGACAAAATTAAAGTTAGTCTACGTTGTCTGATTTTGAATCTGAAAAAAATTAATAACTTGAAAAAAAATTGTCCATATTATATCGTACGAAACACTTTGTAAAAATTATACCTTATATTATTGTGAACTAACTTTAATTCTGTCAAAACAATAAGTAAGTTATCATTAAATTCATATAGTGCATTTTATATTGTTATCGAGTTATTGACATGACGTGTACAATGTGCAAGCGTACGAGAGTGGTACTCGCATTGAATGTCGCCCACACTAATAATCATTTACAACTAAGACGAGTACACAAATTGCTTAAATTTTCCCCTTTAATAATAGCCGTACCGAGGCCCCTCCTAATACTATTCTTGTTATTATATCTGAAATAAAATTAAGTATATATTATATATCATGAATTCGCCACAGTTCGCAGATGGATGGTAATAATTGGTAAACTGTAATAGTGTATAGGTAATAAATATCGTGATTGACAATGAATTACACCGACCCACAATATTTCTGGCACAATTTATTACAACAACCAGAGCCGTGTCAAGCAATTCATCGCCCCGCGCTGGGGCAATTCGCTACCCTCCCCTACAATTTGGGCCCCAGGTAGCATATTAAGCGCAAATAGAGGCGCCCCTTACTTTTACAAAACTATGGCACCCGGGGGCAATTGCCCCCTTTCCCACCCCCCTCCTTAACACGGCTCTGACAACAACAACGACAGTAAAATCGTGTATTCGATTACATCCAATACGACGTTTTCAAGTGGAACCGTTCACGATATTCCATTAAATTTCATAATATATATTTATCAGTAGGTATACATATCAATGCGTGTAAGGTACATTAGCCATTTTGCTATTATTGCGCAACAAGTTGACCGAGTGAACGTAGGGAACTGTATAGTACTTACATTATATATAATAATATGATATGCATTAAATAGAAACTTAAAATAGTAAATTAAATAGAAAATTAATTTAAGTCTCTAATGTTTTTAACCGTTAGGATTGGATGAAGAAATTCTGCAACGAACAAAAATGGAGGATCGATAAAAATCCGTTAATCTGGAAAACTATACTGAACTCAGACGGTTCCTGTCAATTGATCGGTGGCATAAACGAATTTTTCGAACATCTCATAGAATATTACAACGTCGACACGCGTTTGGACAAACGAATAAAAAAACGAATAGCGCTGGATAACGTAGAGGTGGGTTAATGATATTAGATGGGTAATAATAAAACAGATGTCGAGTATACCTCGTCATTTGTTGGATATTTAGATTCTAAATATATTTTAGATCACTGTGCCTAATGGATGTTTTCAATTTGATTGCAATTTTTCATTTTGAAAATTAGTTATTCATTGCGTAGCAGGTACGATAGAAAGCGATTCTCAGTGGAGACCGTCTGTCCACTTATGTTCTGCTGTAATATATCTTATAAGTTTATCTTAATATATATATTTCTTCTGTCCAAGTGTGTATTCAAACTGCTCCTAAACGGCAGCACTGATTTTAATGGCGTTTTTTGTGTGTGCTTGAATGGTTTGGATTCACAATTGGACCAGGTAGGCCCAACCCGGGGTGGTGCTCAAACAGGGATTTTAAGATTTACTATGGACATTTTTTTTATAAATAGTTTTCTATTGGTTAAAGTAGAAATAATTAGTAGAAATTAGTATTTATTTAATTATTGGTTACCATTGGTTATTCGGGCAGATCAGGTACAAGCATGCATCAAATATAATTTTTACACATTGTCTACCAAGGGGGCTGAGTTGCACTTTCAGCAGGTGGATTGCCTATACTTGATATGCTGTCGCCTGTCACACATTCTCCGCGATGACAATAGATGAGTTGCACTTATTGCAGTGAGTTACACCCAAAAGGGGTTGATCAATAACAATGTTTTTAAGAGTTGTCATCCTTTACGGGCAACGAAATGCGCTGGATCAGCTAGTTTTATTATATTATATTTTATACTGACATTAGTAATTTATTTTTCTGTGAATAATATAATATGTATGGGCGAAGGTTTCCCAAAAAAAAATCGCAAATATTAAAAATGTATAATATAGGTGGGTAGTAATTATCATAATATTACTTTAGCCGTTATAACGTCTTTATAGCCTATATTGACGACGAATGTGAATTGGTTCGGGGACCGTGGTATAAAACATTGCTTTAACTTTAATCTAAATATTTTTAAATTTTCATCGTGTAAAGTTTATAATAATAAACGTAGTTGCAAGTAAAATGTTCGAAGTCGCTTTGAATATTTTTGGAATTACAAAAAATAACTATACTCATTATCTATTTTTAAATTTTTATGGTTTTTTACTCCCAAACTAAAATCTTATTCTACCTAAATCAAAAATATACTATAAAAAGATAAAAATTGCAAATATCTACAGGTAGTAAAAAAAGTTCCAAAATATTTAGTAACTTATATCATAAATCTATAAAATTATAATATGCACGCATTAGCTTATTTATTTTTGAATTACGAAAAAAACAAAATCGATTTCGCTTAAAAAATCCTTTTTATCAAACATATGTTACAAACTTACAACTCCCGACCCCCTGGATACGCCTCTGCTCCAAAGTGCTAACTAGATTAAATTTGATTCCAGAAGTTGTAAGCTGAAGTATTTATACTGTTCCAAAAGATGGCAACAGCTGGTGACAGAACAACATAAACATTTTTTTTTTTTTGTAAACATATCATTGTATTATTGTAAAATCAACTTATTCCTTGCTCCACTCAGAATCTAAAATATTAGTAATATTTCCAGAGTTGAAAAATATAATGACTTCGGTTCGTTAGTAATTTTAGTATAGTAGGTACATATCATTAAATCAATATTGGAGTTATAAATTATAAATCTAAAAACACGCGATCTGAATATACCTAGGGTTATTTTTTTTAATTTTAATGTCCTCTTGAGGATATTTGAGAATATTAATTCTCTTATATACTTATATTATATACTCACTTACTCTACTGTTGTACACGAGTTATTTTCCTATCACATGGTTGGTCTTTGGAACTATACACGAGTATTTTGAGCTTTTTTTGGCATATTTTAAATCCTGTAAATTGGTCAACATTGATTGTATCGTTTAAAACCAGCACTCTACTTCCGTTCCGGATTTGTATTGTTATCTATTGCGTTATCGTGTTTTGTCGGTCCCACAGAGACTGCCGTTTATGTTGACCGAGCAAGTACCCGTGTCCCGAGCCCCGCCGACAAGGGTGTGCATAACCGGCGCAGTTTATCCGTCTACCTGTTACCTGGTTTCTGAGCTGTTACAGTTGAAAGAACTCCATGCTAAAGACGGAGGTGGTGTAACGGTGTGCTTACACCATAAAGACTCGAACAAATACGGAGGTACATCGTTGCGATCACACTCACCAAACTACATTTATATTTAAATTAAATCGTCAGTAAATATATTAGGTAGGTACCTATATAATATAGGTGAAAGTAAATTTAAAAGTATACTTTTTACAAAGACGTAAGTCTTGCACACCAGTGCAATCTGGTGCAATCTCAGGTAGGTAATCAAAACAAATTGTCAACTATTAACTACTATAATTGAAAATATATTTATTTTTAAATCGTGTTCCACAATCCACATAATATTATATTAGTATACGTCTGTGTGTTGTTTAAAACGCCTTGGATTGGAAAACAACTCATGAACAGTCCAAACTATGTTTTTACTTTAACGTAGATTTTGCGCACTTATAGGTACTTATTAACTGGTATGGTTTTTTCCTAGTGGAATGGGGACATTATGTTTTGTGTTTTCCCATCGGTTGTCCGTATTTAGGTACGCATATGGTTTCATAGTATAATTTACTCATGTGCTTTCTTGTTATGCAGATCTGATAAGAATTAAACACGAAATTTGCGACGCTGAATTTAATATTCGTGGGTGCGGGGCGATAACGGTGGTCAACAGCGATGAAGAAGGGTTGCTGAACTGCGATTTGTTCATCGTGCTTGGCAGCATGAGAAGGCAAGTCACTATCACACTGAACGAGTGAATGACACACGATCTGAAAGGAACGTATCTCTTAAACGCATTATTCCTTTTATATAGGAATAGGGATGATAGTTAAATAAAGAAACACCACAAATAGATTTTATTATGAAAACAACTTTTCCGAATTTAGAATTTAAAATAAAAAATATTGCCCATTTAATTTAACAAATTAAATTTTTAATTATTAAGTATTAACCACTCAATAACCAGCTAGATTAATGCGTAAAAACTTATACACACTACATTATAATTTATATTACCTACAGTGGCAGATTTAAGAGGGACCAGAACGGCCCGCCTCACTCCCATTGGCCCAGCATCTAAGTTAATAAATTGGGCCGTTTTTAAATATTTGTGTCGTAAAACTTGGAAAATGACAATATTAGTAGGTATAATATTTGATGGGTAGCTCAATATTATTTTAAAAAACACCATATTATATGACCTAGTTCTTATTTTCATAAATAGAAATAGAAAAAATTAATGAGTTTAATTTATTTAAAAAAAAAGAAACGGATTTCTATATTTGAATACAAACTTTCAATAGTACGACATAACAATATAGGTAATTATTTACTTGTCCTCTATTGTGATGAATAGGGAAGAGAATGAAGAAGAACAATTATGGATGGACCGAAATTACACCGCAATGAAGAAATTGGCTTCAATCCTCAACCGCCATTGTCCCGAGCGCTGCAAGGTGCTGCTTATGGGCATGGATCTATTGTGTTTCAACCTGAGCGTTTTGGCTGAAAAAGCCGACAAAGTTTATTTGTACAACATCATCGGTGTAACCGGTCATCACGGTATGGTGACGTTACCAACCATTTCTCGGGTAAGTATACCTAACATACCAAACGTGACCCTAGTAAATGTACCACTCATGTAGGACGTATCATTACATGTTTTTACCGCAGGGCCGCCAAAATATCAAATCTAACATTATTTTTTTCATTGCATTAAAATATCTATTCATCCATTTTTTTTATTCATAAAAAAAATGAATGAATAGAATAGGATGGTAAAAAATTATTAAGATTATTTATTTTTTTAATTCTGTTTTAAAATAATAATTTAATGATCTGCACACACATGAGTCGCAATAATACGAATTGATGGAATATACTGTTTTGAAATGGTATTAACTTTTTGCATGACAAACCATTTAGTATAGACATCCTACCTTCATCCACTACCTTTGTTTCCAGGAAAATGGATTCACAGTAGTAACTGATTGTAGCTATACTGACATTACATATTATAATCATTGCTATATCATTATTTAAATTTATATGATTTAATGATTCGTGATTGTACTAATCTAGTTGGATTCAAATTTTGTACTTTGGAATCCTAAAGTGTATATTATAATAATATGTATATAAGTGATTAAATTGTTTGGATTGAATTTTATTTTTTAACACCCCACCCCCTCCATTAGACATACTTATTAGTTATTATGTTATAATATTATTTACCTTGGAATATATTTTTATCAAACCATATATTAAGTACATAGGTAGGTACATACAATTTTGGGAAAGTAAAACCACGGCAGTGGTGTAGCTAAATAGCCTATCCAAGACACCGTATCCGCCTTAATTGTTACTGGTTAGTGCTTTAGTAGTTTGATGGTTTGCAGCTTTAACATGTTGAGTCCATAATACAGCTGTTTATTATGTTATTATGTGTATTATCAGTTTTAGTGTTCATGTAATGTATGAATATTTCTAAAATGTATTATAATACATCCAATGGCCACAGATGCCGCAGATAGTTTGTTTAATAAAAAAAAAAAAAATACTGTTTATTGTTTTGCCCATTGGTATTTTAAAGTCACAAATTGCATTATTCAATAATCAAATCTCACATCAAACTTTTTTTCGTTTATACTTAATATACTGAATAGCTGAATAGAGTATAATAAAATATTAAAATACATAGGCTTTAACTATAATATCGTGAGCTATCTATTAGAATGGGTTCTTATTACTAAACTACTAAATAAAATATTTCCCAAATTACTTATTAGTTATTATCTATTACAGTTCCTCAATTCCAAGGTACATTTTAAACCTACTATACAACAAAGCCACTTTTCCCTGGAAATTTTATAGTTAATATTTGATAAAAACATTTTTAAACTATATTTTTTCAAATAACCTAATATTTTTTTTTTATAAAATTATACATTATATCAAAAACTTCTTACTTTTTATGTAAAAAAAGCCTTACCTTATTTTTAGCCTGTACCATTTCTTACCTTATTTTTTTAATAGATGTGTGTTTTCATTTTCATTATATTAATAAAATAATTTTAAAGGCAGCTTAAATAAACGAATCAAAGATTCATTTAAAGATACATAAGTAATATCAATATGTTTATTTAAATAGTAGATACAAGAATATTATAATACCTACATTATTATTCATGTCGACGAGTTATAGTAATAATATTAAATTTTAAAATTTTATTTTTATTGGCGTGTGCGTTGGGGCTGGAGATCTTGGGCCATCAACCCTTCTCCCGCATAATCTCATCAATGATTATAAGTTAAAACTTTGATTTTTAGCTTTCGGTATTATTCAGACATTCGATAATGATAACACTCCCCCCTCAATACCTAAATTAATTATACTGCCTAGTACCTACCTGTTATAAATGTTACCTGTTATTAATAGGCGACGGGCATCCTGATCCCGGACCTCCACTGTCCACCGGTTTGGGGCTTCGACGGCTCGGCGAAATATGTCGACTTCAAACACGTGATCTATCATTGTGGTGGATCGGCCACGGACAACCCTGGTTGCAAGGACGCGGCGACTGCGGTGGAAGATTATTCAGCAAATCGAAACAAGCACAAATACTTGCAGAGCGTACTACAGCAGTCGGAGAGTCTGGTGGGCGGCGACGGCGAACACGTTGCAGCGAGCACTAACATCGGTAACTCAGTGCTTACCTTATGTCTATATAATAATATAATATACTTGCTGATCCCGCGCCCTTTGTTCCTCTTAAAAATTACAAATCTTAAAAAAAAATGTGAATGTTTAGTTCCTTTTGGGTGCAACTCGTCGGATCGCGGACAATGTGTGACGGCATATCAATCAAGTAGACAATCCACCTGTTTGAGTGGTTCCCGGGATGATTTCGATTCACAGTGGTACCCGGTAGGTCCAACCCAGGGAGGTGCACATCAGGGATTTTGAAATTTATGATGGACATTTTTTTTATACATGGTTGCTATTGGTTGTAGGAGAATTAATTAGTAGAAATTACTATTTATTATTTTATTGGTCGCTGTGGGTAATCGGGTAGATCAGGTGCAAGTTTAGGTACATCAAATCGAATTTTTGCACATTGCCTACCAAGGTGACTGAATCACACTTTGTTTAATTTTAATATAAGATCCAACGTAGTAGCCACTCTGATTGAGTTGCTCTTACTGGAGCGAATTACACCCAAAAGGAGTTGACAATCATAATTTTTTTTAAGAGATATAACTTTTACGGGCAACAAAGTGCGCGGCATCATTAGTACATAAATAAAAGTAAACGTTTATTTGTTTGCTTTATATATATATTATAGACTCAAAAACTACCGAACCTTTTTAAGAAAAGTTATATCAATAGGTAGATAGATTCCTTGAGACTCTGAGGGTGTTTATAACATATTTTGTTCAACCCCAGTGAGTTGCTATAGTAAGTTGCACATGAATTTAGTTTTGTTTCACGAAAATTGAATATATTTTTTAAATTTAATTGGTTGCCATTCCATGGTTACAGATTTATATATTACTATTATAATTAGTAGAGATCAGAAACATAAAAACATTAAAAAAAAAAAAAACAAATCTTATCTTAAAATAAAGTGCTTATGAACACAATTAGGTACAATGACTACATTTATGATTTGTTTTCTTAATTATGGGCATAATATTTTTTATGTAAACACTTGCTGCAGTCTTAACGATATTGGATTTACGTCGGGTTTTAAGCATTTGATGAAGCTGTCTCCAGTTTTCTTTTGCCAGACCGCGCAACTATATTACATTATTATATAAGAAGTGGAAAATATTAAATTAATGGTTGAGCTGTAATAAATTTTGGTTGAAAGCTAATGAAAAAAATAAAAGTGGCAAATCATAATAATCAAAATCAAATTAATTACCTATCGTAAACGGGTCTGTACTTTGTATTACCTGCCTATATCTAATTATAACTCAACTTAAACTGAAAACCATAGAAAGATAGATTAATTATTTAAACCTCAGCGAAGGCGGTAGAGACATAGAGTTACCGCCATATTAGGTATATAGGTATAACTTGTTACCTTTATTCTATACAATTTAGAGATATAAAATGTACGTACATTTTTTTTTTTTGGTAATTTACCGAGAAAAATTTACGTAAATTTGGTAAAGTTTGATAATTTTGGTATGTTATCATAGGAACATCCCCAGAAACTCCTCTCTGACGTATTTGTCGCATTTCCATGAACTTATAATTATGGTAACATTAATTTTTTTTTATTTATTGGATAGTAGGATGTTTACTTAAACAGGGCGGTCGTTAAATTTGTAAATGTTTTAAATTTAGTGACTGGGGTTCTGGTTCTAATATATGTGTTAAAAATAATAAAAATTATGTACAGAACATTTAAAAATAATCAGAAAAGTTTAACCGATGCACCAAAGCCTTGAAAAGTTTAATATTACTAATATTTTAAACGCAGTTGATTATCTGATTATCTGTGATAAAATCAAATTTATATTAATTGCTATAGTAATTGATCGTATCAGCTGATATTCTTATGGTGTATTCGTATGTTTAATATTATATAGTATAGGTACTACACTATCAATGGTTTTGGACGTTTTACATTTTATAATAGGTATAAACTATTCAATTTTATTAATATGTTATGACTGATGAATATTGGCCCAGTGAAGCCGTTTAATTTGAGGTGTCACATGCTAATTTACGAGGTAAAAATTTACCCAATTTACATCTGTAATAAAATGCTATATAATGACCTAGATGAAAAACGGTAGGCGTACAGTGTTAAATAAAATAATTCAATCGTGTTTCACTTTGCTCGTTCTTCTCACAGAATCATGTACCAACGAGGTGTGTCACCTGTGTAGTTTGCCCGAAATACGCGTGGCCGTGCGAATGATATCGGAATGGTTCAAAAACGATGGTCGTATAACCGTCAGCGCTGCAGTTTTTTCAGACGGTAATTACCTATTTTTTATATTATGATATTATACTGGTAGGATTGACAAAAAGTACATTCAAATAATCAAATGAGCATACATTGTTTACCGTTCACGTACGCACGTCGCATGACGCACACATTTATTAGACATACAATATATACACAGGTGTATCTTATGTCATTGTACGCGGGGTTTTTTGACGATTACGGAACGATAATATGGAATTTCGTTAAAACGAAAAAAGACCTGTTTCTTTATTTTTAACAAGCATTTTTTTTATAACAATTTCAAAATTTTTAAACACGCAGGTGTACCAATAGCAAAATCAACTTTTTTTTTTCAAATGGTAACCACTATATTTTTTAATGGATTCTTATAAAGCTTTTTTTTCTGAACATTTTGGTAGTCTAATCGTCAATTTTGGTTCGCTAGTTTATTAACTATGGTCCTCCAAAGATTAGTAAAATATGCATTAATACTTTTAATTAAAATAATGGGTATATAGGTTTAATTTACAAGCGCTAAACAATTTTTTCTTATAACTACCATTTGATACACTACAATAGTTGAATAGGTAATCTAATGACACCCTCAAAAAAATTAAAAATTAAAAATAACAAACACAATTGTTTGTAAACATACTATTCATTAATTTTATTTTAACATACGATCATAAAAATCAATATTATTATTTTAATTTATTATTATAATCGTAATTAATTACTTTACATTTTTTTCATCACAGTTATTTTTCTTACAATATCATAAATTTGAATTCTTAATTAGGTAGGTGGCTAAGGTAATAATGGTAAATTGGTAAATGTTATTCGATTGTTTACATTAATATGTGCAACGAAAAAAGTGCAATGTTTTGTGGTGCTCTTTTCGTAGTGGTATAAAGTATAAACTTGATATTTTAACCATAAATTCCCTATAATGGTATCGCATCCAAAATATGAACTTAGGAGTTGTAATTCATCCCATTCCATCCTTTTTAGTTTTGGATATTAAAATAATAATATTGATTTTTATGATCGTATGTTAAAATAAAAATAATGAAGGATGTTTACAAACAATTGTGTTTGTTATTTTTTTTTTTTGTTTTTTGAGGGTGTCATTAGATTACCGATTCAACTATTGTAGTGTATCAAATGGTAATTATAAGAAAAAATTGTTTAGCGCTTGTAAATTAAACCTATACCCATTATTTTAATTAAAAGTATAAATGCATATTTTGCTAATCTTTGGAGGACCATAGTTAATAAACTAGTGAACCAAAATTGACGATTCGACTACCAAAATGTTCAGAAAAAAAAGCTTTACCAGAACCCATTAAAAAATATAGTGGTTACCATTTGAAAAAAAAAATTGATTTTGCTATTGGTACACCTGTGTGTTTAAAAATTTTGAAATTGTTATAAAAAAATTGCTTGTTAAAAATAAAGAAACACGTCTTTTTTCGTTTTAACGAAATTCCATATCATCGTTCCGTAATCGCCAAAAAACCCCGAGTACAATGACATAAGATACACCCTGTATATGCATATGTATATGCATGCAATAAGGAAATTGCCTATTTTGAACTCCTTAAAAACTGTCCATTTGCAATCCCCTTAACACTACCCTTTTATTATACCAACTATCAATAAGGTCATGGCACATACATAATATGGACGATCTTTTTTTTTTTTAGCACCCTAAACTTAATCATTAATTATTAAAATCGTGCTGAGTATACCTTCAACAAATTTGATAGGAACATCACTGGTTAAGTGCTAGCTCTATAAAATAATGATCATCGGGCACAGCGTGACCACTGCCCAAACATAGTTTTACATAAATAGTTCATCATCTAAATTTTACACAATTTTTATAGGAACATTTGGCCTACCGTTTGGTATGTTTTTATCTCAACCAGTTCACATGGAAAACGGTGAATGGAAACCAAATTTTGACTTCCCACCTCCAGATGAAACAGTCATAATTGACATGTTGTCCAAAGTATCAGATATTGCATTCGAATATAACCTTGGAAATAGGTTTATTATGAACCCGAAAGAAATGGCAACAGAACTTAGTGAATAACTTTTTAAAGAAATTATTTTTTACTAAAATTGAAACTTCTAAATTCTTCTGTGAATATTGATGACATGTTATCTGATTAAATAAGACTAAAGTACTAAGGCCAAATACGATTATTTAATATATTATTAAAATAAGTGATAATCACTTAATTATTTAGTATAGATACTGTCCGGTTAACCTACCTAATGAATATGGTTGTGTACCTATTTTACAACCTGTAGCATTTATAGAGATCTCTATTCATTTTTTAGACTCTGATAGGTTATCATTTAAATTTTAATAAAACACTTGTATACACATGTACATAATAAAAATGACAAAATTCCAAAATAAAAGTTTAGAGGCTTAAACCCAATTGATTGTAATTTTCAATTTTCGTAATTTTCATTTACGATAAATTATTGAACTGGCTCTCAGATTTTCTCTGAAGACCCAACATTTTTAGGATTTAAACTTTTCAAGTGTACGTCTGCCAAGTACAATAATTTGGTAAGTTTTGATATTTCTGCGAAAGGTAATATGTAATTTGGAGGAACAATTCACATAGTATTTGACATGATAATTTGGAACTTTGCTGGGAGTTGTGTAGTGGTATAAGAAACGTTACTGAGTTTCAGCATTTTTGGAAATGTTTGCAGGCATTATGACCGCTATGGTCCCGGTTCAGAAAATTAGATGTAAGCATCTTAACATGTATTCTAACACATAATGTTATAAATGTATAATGGCATATATTGTATATTTTGTATAAAGATTATATTATATTATATGTATATTATTTATTATTTTACTATAAATACACACAAGTAATTAAGGAATATTAATTTAAAAAAATAAAAATATTTAAGTACATGCAAAATTTAATAATTGTTTATATTGAACTTCAGAATATTCAATCATGTTAAAATCCAAAATAATTTTGAGGTAATTCCTTGAAGTGGCATATCCAGGGGAGGGGTTGTAATGTCCCCAAAAATTGTTATAATAAAAAATAGTTCATTAAATAAATCATTTTCAGATAAAATTGGTCAAAAATTAATTTTCGTTCCCCAAAAAAAAATTCTGTATTCGCCACAGCTTCCTTGTATTATAAATAAAAACTATCAAAACACATAATATATATTTTTAATAATTATAAATTAAATCCTGAATTTATTTTTAATAATAAATGAAAAGTATAAAATTATAAGTATCAGATCTTAACTAGGGGTTAGGTGAAATATGATTATTTTATCCAAATAAAATATAATGTTAAAATTATAAGCCATAACTTTGTATCACAGAACAGTCAAAATTAATTTGATGTACTGAACATGCTCAAGTTTCGACAGGCATAAATTAAAAGGCACCATTTTGTATGTTACCTATGTATGAATGAAATGTAGATAATATTGTACATTAATTGTACTTAATATTTTTAAATAATATAATGTAATTATACATTTATAAAAATACTTAGTAATTAAACGATAATTATAGTTTATAGGTTAAGGTACACCTTAATGTTAAATTGGAATTTAAACTTATATTGTCATTTAAACTGGAGTCACTTGGAATGATCATAAGAATAAAATAGTTTTGAATAATGGCATCATGGAATTAAGAGATATTTTTTTCAAAACAATCATTTAAAAAATTTGTAAACGGTTAATATTGAGGTGATACTAAGGTGTTTGTTGTTGTATTTGAGCTTGCATCTTGGCAATGACGTCTTGCATACGTTTAAGTTCAGCCTCCTTTTCCTGCAAAATTCTATCTTTTTCTGAGCCAGAATTTTTCTCATGTTCAGGTAGTGATCTATACAGATTTAGAATAATGTAATAATACGCTCTACTTATAAGTTATTACAAATAACTATGTAATAATAATAGTCATACGTAGTTCTTTTCGGCACAGGTACTCCTTTTGCTAGACGCTCTGATCGATAGTTTTCATAATGTACTTCTTGTGTTACTTCTTGTAGATCTTGCATGTGTGTGCTGAAAGTACGCATAAATTAATTTATATATTTAATAATGTGTTATCACTTGAACACAATTAATTTATATCAGTTTACATAAGCATAGTACGCAGTTTGATAAAGTCACAATGTTCAGGGTTTTCGACTTCAACAACACCCCAAGGATAGAACCGCCCTCGGACTTTTTTACCACGCACTTCTAATAATTGATTTGCACCACAGACAGCAAATGGTACAGCTTCTTTTAATTGCTTCACCTGTGGTATGCACAATAGTAGCGTAATTATTTTAGTTATTTACATTTTTTTATTTTTTTAAATAATAAATAAATACTAATTAAAAACCTGTTCTTTATAGTCTTCATCTTCGTCACTGTCACAATCTGGTAGGGGGTAAATTTTTATGCCATTAGCATTAATTTCTTCAAGTATCTATAAGAACATGATACATAATGAATTTATACAACACTACAAAATCTAAAATACATTTTTCATCAATACAAATACAGTCAAATCCGCTTAATTGGGACACATCGGGTGGTGACCTATTTGCCCCCATTATCCTGACTCTCCCGATTAACCGAAGAATTTTACATACAATACATTCATTCGGGACTGTCATTAATGTCCCCATTAAACAGGTGTCCCCTTTAAGCGGCGTCCTCTTTAAGCGGATTCTACTGCATCTCTAAACATTATAATTTATAAACAGGGCTCATAAGTTCATGCACTAAAAATCAATTTAATGCATAATATGCAAGATGAAATTATAATCTTAAAAATGCTCAAATATGCAGTAAAAAACATTTAACTATAAAATAAAGTCATATGATGAAAAAAAATTTTCAGTTTATTTTTAATTTATAAACAAAACTTAATTTTGAATGAATAAATAATTTTTTTTGTTCATGCGTTTGGTTATAATTTTCTTATTGGGCTGGCAAGTGGAATATTATTTTTTAATCATTTCACCATCCATGCATTGATTATATTTTAAACATTTTCAAACATATTGTTTTAGCTAGATATTAAAAACATTGGTATTTCTACATTAAAAATATGTTAATATCAATTAATTTTAAATGTTCTTTAATTCAAAAGATGCATGATTATGCCAAAAACCTTGAAATGTGCAATTATATATAGTAAAATAAAATCACATATATTGAACCTTGTCACCTAGAAGACAATTTCTGTTACTTATCATTTACTAAGAGTTGGCAAGATTGATGTGCAAATGCATGAACATATGATCCTTCTTTATAATTTATTATAGTGAAACCTCTATTTACAAACACTTCCCTCTAGAAAAAAATCACAAAATATGTTTTAAACATACAATAAATATACTATCAGTAAAATATTTTTACATTTGACTTTTCATCTGGCATTTGCTCAACTTTGATACTTGCTCTAGCAAATATTTTAGTAACTATTTAAACGAGGTAACCATTGACGTTCTGAACCTTGCACATTTTTATATAATTAGAAACTTAAAAGTACTGTAAATTATTATCAAACAACATACATCATTATTAATATCGTAATTTTGTACCTATACATTTTTCTTTAAGTTAAAAGAATTGTAGTTATCGCCCAGCCTATTTAAAAACTATAAAATATTTTAAATTTTGAAATGCAAGCCGGTAAGTTATTCTATGTCGTAATTTAATGAATATAAGAGAAGTTCTTTAATGGTTTAGGATATTTTTACAAGACTAACTTACACCAGCTACATGAACACAGAGCCAAGTGCCAACCATTTAGGATATAATCCATTTAATATTACTTTGAAGGTTTAAACTTCCATGAAATTCATAAAGATTTTTGTAGATTCTGAATACATAAGTGTGACATAGAAAATAAATTAATATTAGCATCATTTTTGGTTAGGTACCCATAGACAATTATAAGCATGTTTGCATTCGATCATGTTTCTTAAAGTTAGCATTCTGTTACAGAACATACAAATTTAATTCAAACAAATTCCACAATATTAAAATTTGACATTTAAATGTTATATCATAACATTTAAATTATAACAAGAACTGTACACGCTCATCAATTATAATTATTACATCAATATTTCTTATTATCACTAATATAAAAGATGAGCAATAAATATTTATTATTCGATCATTATCATAAAATTATTTCAAAACCATAAAATGACTAAAAGAATTATGTATTAACAATATTCTAATAGATTGCTGATTTCAATATATTTTTTGTAATATTATAAATTAATATATTATGATGTATTATTTTTAAATAAATATGTGATTGAGTACACTAGGTTTAAGAATATGTATAATGCATAAATATTCTAGATATAAATGCATTATAATTTAAAATATTAAACAATACTTAAAACTTTTCCATATTATATCGTTATCCATATATGTTGCCAACGACAGTTACCTCGTTTGATAATAGACCACACCCATCATTCAAATACCAATAGAAAGAACTTCTAAATAATATACATTTGTACTACCCACAGTAAATTCCCATCATATAGAGATTTCATTGTATTATATTTACATAAGATTTAACTATTAAAAAATTAATATTATTTTTTAATTACTCTTTTTTTTAATTTCTGTATTTCTTTTTTAGTAAGAACATCTGATTTGGCAATGACAGGAACAATATTCACTTTGTTATGTAGTTTTTTCATTAGTTCAATATCCAATGGCTTTAATCTAATAAAATAAATATGTGTACATCCAGTATGCTATTATTTTAAGAATAAGCAAGCTTTTTGTTTTTAACATTCTTTGATAAGGTTAATTAATACTATTTTATTTAACTTACCCATGTCCAAATGGAGAAACAAAATAAAAACAACAATGAACACGATTATCAATAATATGACGTCTGTTTAATCCACTTTCATCTTTTAAAAACCGTTCATACTGCTCATCAATATATTGAATAATAGCTCGAAAACTATAAGTTATAATAATTTTAAAAAACAGGTAATAAAAACTTAGGTATTAGTGAAAAGTTAAGTTTTTAAAAAAAAAAATACCTATCAGAGTTATCTATGGCATCCCCAAAACCAGGAGTATCGACTACAGTAAGTCTTAATTTCACACCGCGCTCTTCAATTTCTACAGTTGATGCGTCCAATTTTACAGTCTGCTTGGTTTTTGCTAATTGAATCAAAAATAAATAGGTACACAAAATATAATGAATTATCAGTTAAATATTAGATACACACCAATGGCATCTGGAATGGTGCGTTCGGGATATAAATCCGTTAAGAAGAGACTGTTTACGAGGGTGGACTTTCCGAGACCCGACTCCCCGACTACCATAAGCGTGAATTCAAAGCCTTTTTTCACGGACTTACGGTGTACTTGATTCGGCAGATTGGCAAAACCAACGAATCCGGGTGACTCCACATTGTTGAACTGTTGTTGGAAAATCAAAACGAATTTATTAAACAAACTACACACTCGACGTATCAATTCGCATTTGAAAATCAAAGCAAATGATTTGTATGGGGAGGAGGTGTAAAACAGGAAAAGAACCTCGACTTACTGAACTTACTGTTTTAATCGAATCGCTGGACATTATTGCTGTCGTAGACACCTGACTTTAGTGTAAATTACGAAAACGGTCACAAACTAGCAACGACTAAACACCGGACAATCCACAATCAACTCTACACTTCTTTATTTGATTGTTCTAACGAGAGAGGGAGAGACGTCGGCGTCCAACACTTTCGAGAATATAAATAATAACAACGATAATAATATAAATGTTGATAAGTAATTATTGATAACACCATATTATCATTATTGTTTAAAAATTGAAACATTATGTTAAATAATTTTATTATTCGGCCTAAACTCTTAAGTATATACTATAATATAAGCCTAAGGGCTAAGTTTACGCTTTTGGTTTAAATTTTTAATATGTTATATCAAATAAATGTTAAGCAATAATACAAAACATGTTTATTACAATAAAATGTTGAACTATAATCGTGGAATAGGCACAGATTACGGTTCACATCGACTGACGACAGCAAGCGAGTCTTCTCATTCTGTATTTTAATAACATTGTTTGTGTCAAAATGTTTGACGGTCATTTTAAAAACATTACCAGGCCACAACAACATACTCGGTATGGTTTATACCTGTGGTATGTAGGGGCGATGATATTTAAAAAGTTAGCAACAAATGTAATTGAAATAGGATGACATTTGTAGATTATATTTTGATGGGAATTAATATAATTAAGTGTTTGTAATTTCTTGTAGTCATCATAGTTTAACGATTAGGAATTTTATAGTTCGTTGTCCGTGGACTGTGGCTCACATAGCTCAGTTGTACAATTAGTACAAACGACAACACTGCCACGCACAATATTATCTTTTTGTTTAGTATTAGGTATATTTTCTTCTTAAAATATTATTCTTATTTATAGATTAGACCGACTGCTGCGAATTGCTATCATGGTGAACGGACGTTTCATCCCGGTCTAGAAGAAATCGTGGAATTAACTCGTTTCGTAACCGTCAATTATAAAGATAGGACATATGGCCTCCGGGAGTTATAATGGACGTTATTTAGCCTTTGCTCACTTATATTATTTAAAAAATTAAATTCGATTGATGAAAATTATATTTTAGGTAATATATTTTATAATATTTAAAAATGTTTATATTTTAATAGAATAAATAACTAATAATAAATAAGGTATACTAATAATTTACGTTTGATAAAAAAAATAGTGATTTAAAAAAAACCTGGAAACTAACGTCCTATCTTAATAACTAATGTTTACGAAACGTCCATGGACCGGTTTTTTGGACGGGGATGAAACGTCCGTAGACTACTAGACTGGTTTTTTTGACGCGTACGAAACGATTCGATGTTATAAATTTTTCTCTCACCAGTTGAACAAAGGTCGGATCACTCAGCAAAAATGTATTTAAACGTATAAAAAAAATTGATAAGAATTACTGACCGAGTACCTAATTAAATCATTTTTTTTAACCAACCCCTCCTCCTCCCTTGAAAAAATCTTGGTTACGCAAGTCTGACTCAATAGATTTAAGACACATTTACTACGTTTATATGATGGCGTTAAAACGGTTTAAAAATGAAAACTAAACCGTTTTGAAAGTTAAAACGCCATCATATAAACGTAGTAATTGATATCGGTGATTTAATTTTAGCAGTGCAGTATAATCTTCGTTATAATATTATTCAATTAAATAAATTATAGAGAGATGATATCGGCGAGTACCGCACTACCGCGTCGCCGAGTGGCGACAGGCGAGTAAAACGGAAAACACGGCGACCTAACGTGCTAAATTCCTAACGCCGGTTGCCGGCGCCATCGCCCACCAGTCAGATTGGTAATGTTGAATGACATGGACAAATGGTCACATTGATTGTGCGCCCGGCTCCGGCACCAGGACTCCTGCGACAGTCAACTTCAAAAGAAGTCAACACTAGACTGAAATCAGAAAATATACATTATACTCTGGTCTCTGACACTCTGTACTCATAACAAAATAGATTGAAAATGTTGTCATTGAAATACAGAATACAGCATTTTGTAGTTTGTTTGTTTTGTTTGCACTAAAGTATTTATTTTTACAGTAGATAACCAACAACAGCTGCTGTATAAGCAGATGTCAAACATCCATGCTAGATAGGAAGAAGTTAGAGCTGTACTGGTCAAGCACTTCACGACCATAACTTCCTTATATAATACGTTAAACCGTTAAACGTGCAAGTCGCGAGATGGTCGACCACCGGTTGCGGTGAGTATGTGGTATCTACGGACTCTGAATATCAGGGGCAACCTAAACACGTCAGACGTCCATCATCATAATTGAAGGTGACACAGTGAAATAGGTTCATGTTCATCGTCGTGGTCATCTCATGCGGGAAGACAGTGACCACTCTCTAGTTTTTCTTCTACTTTGTGTTGTGTAACTACGATGAGTTTTGTTAATACCTATATTATTATGATTGTTTTTTTGCTCAATCGTTGTTGTCTTAGTATTTTTAATTCTGTTAAATCTGAATTTAATTATAAACCGTAAGTAGCATACAAAAAACGATTCTGATGACGGTCTGTCAGATTAGGTTCTATGCATTAGTATGATAAATATATTTTATGATATATTTATATTGCTATTATAATAATTTATTTATTTTACAATAAGTATAATACCATCAATTATATAAAGTTTGCCTAAAGCATTGCATTAATTTTTTTTTTTTATATTTGGGTTAAGGCTTCGACAACTTAGGTCATTAGCCTGTGGTACTGTAGGGGGGGTACTATAGGTTTGTTCACACGTGTGTGTTTTGGCAGAATTTTCGATTTGGGCACCCGTAGGTATCTGCCATACTCGGGTGGGGGATGGCGGCACTTGTTCTCCGGACACCGTGACTTGCCAGAAGAAAAATGCCGCACGCGGCCTGGAATCGATCCGGGTACGGCTGCGTCGCAACCGACGCCTTAAACCTCTCGGCCACTCCGTCCCCCATTGCATTAATAATTGTATTATAAAATATTAAAAAAATATTTATATATCATGCATCACTGTTATTGGCTTTGAGTCAATAAAGACTTACCGACGAAAAGTGTAAACACATGTGCGTGGTATAGATATGCAATACCTTACAATTAATCTAAATGTTTTGAAAATATTATTGTGTTTATAAAATATTATCATACACGTATATAGATTTCTGTGAAAATTTCAAGTTTCTACTACTGCAGTTTTTCATTTTTAAGGTGCACCAAACAAACAAAATCAATTTTTTTGAAAACCTTTTTTTTTTTGTTTTTCTGAGTATTTTGAAAAATACAGGAAATTTTTCACTAACTAGATTCTATTTTCTCTCAGAAACCACCCTCAAAGTTGAAAAATATTTTAATTACTCCAATAAGCGATGACCGACACAACTTTAATTTAAAAAAAAAAAAAAAACACACACATCATTGTAGAACCAATACATCCATTGCTCAGCTCAGAATCGAAAATTAATATTTTCATACGGCGGTTAACGACATGCATTCGACTTTAATTATTAATTAATAATTAATATGTATTTACATTTTATGAAATATAATATTTTTAAAAACAATCATGTTTTATTCATTATTGGAAATCTACATTAGGTTTATTCATAAGTTATAGATAATCGATTTTTATTTAATCTTACAATTTTTTCATCACATTTAAAAATTGTCCATTGTTTTATTATAACAGTAATGTAAAATAATACATAAATTGGTATACCTACTAATCTTTTTGTCTTCGAGATATCTCGATGCGATAGTAATTACCTAAATAATAAGAGGCGCACTCGTAATTTAAGCGACGAAGTTACTCGTAATAGATGTACTGTAGTAATGTTTGAAATCTTCGGCGTGATAACTACTATAACAAATTATAATTTATAACCAAACTACCCAATATCTAGTCATTAAAAAGTTATAAGTCAAAGAAAAATCGATTTTAACTTTCTAACTTAGTAACTTACTCGTGGTTTTTATTTACTTAGATAGGTACTATTTTTTTTACGAGTATAAATAACAAGTCAGTTTTAAATTGAGTCTCCCGTTTTAAATTAAATAGTTAAGACAGTTAAGTTATCATAATGTTATTTTTATTCGTTTTAAGCATAATAGCATTTTTAGTGAAATATAAAGTACCTACCTCATAAGTTGTTCCCACAGAAATTACAAAATATTAAAAATACTTAATCAATTTTTTTGGATTAGCGTTTAAATTCCAAATGTTTACGAAATTCATAACATTTACGAAAATTTGCAAGAAATGTTAACTTTAACCACCTTAGACTTGAAAATTAGATACAAGGTTTTGTATAAGTTTATTTAGTGAAAGTTAAAAAATATTTATATTATTAAGTCACAAAATATCAATTTTAGTTAATTTTAGTTACAAAAAAACCGAAATAACTAGCCACAATATTTTCACACTCTATAAATTAATTTTACATAGAGTTTTGGCGTTTACTAATAATACATAAAAAAGAAGCCAATTGAATTATTCAACGAAAATATCTATTTGTGCTAAATTAATACAATTTACAGTAAGTACCAACATATAATTATTTCAAATATTTTTATATATACAGGTATATTTATCAAAAGTGTACCTAACTTATACAGTTATACATAATAATATACCTCTAACATAAATAATGTAATAATGTGATACAAATTATTATTTGAACATTTCATTTTACTTGGAAATCTTTTACAATTATTTCAAAAATTTTATATATTTTATACATTTTATACACATTCGACAGAGTATTGAAATATTTTTTTTAATTATTTCGATTCTCTGTCGAAGGTTACTATATATAGCAGCATCTATAACAATGGCACAACATCAATCAAATTGTTGGGAACTACGCGCAGCACAATAATCGCCTGAAAAATTTTTTAGTACGTTTCCAAAATGAACGGCGCTTATATAGGTTTGACCCTGTTCGTCTTTACCATCTGGTCCATTATTGCAGTATATCTGCAGTTTCACACAGGAGACCGCGGATATCGCTGCATTGGGTTTGGTCGGTGTCTTCAACTCCATCAGTCCCGATCATGGCGGACGGCACTTGGATTGCCGTTTCCTGTTCCATTAACATCATATTTGGCGTTGAACAATACATTTTGGTCAGTCGACTTGAAGCGTTAATAGCTCGCTCGACTCTCGGCCACGTCCAAATCCATGTCGTTCAATGTACAAGATCGGCTCCTAGGTTTGACCAAGGTTACCACTAGGTCATTTATTGCAGCATTTGCAGAATTCTCCAGATGATCTGGACCAGATCCACACACCGGCACAGCTACACTGAGTTCTGATAGGGATTTCGATCAAGTCGGGGCTATCGTAGCTGACGGCGCTTGAATTATCGTTTCTGCAGTTTCAGGTTCCATTAACGATGTATTTGACATCGAAAAATACGGCCTAGTCAATTGACTTGTCGAGCAACTGCAGCCCGCACGTCCCTTGTTCAAGCTCATGATGGTATTTATTGTGACTGAAGACATCGTAATGCGAAAATTATATTATAATTGATTTGAATACTCGAGATAAAAGAAAAAGAAATTATAGTTTAATACTAACTCTCTATTTCCTTGGATACGAGATTTTATATGCTTACTGTGTCTGGAATTAATTTTAATTCAAATTGAGCCAGTTAATTAAATACGAGAATATACAGATGGATTTACCAGCATGATCACCTTAATTGTATCCTTTAACAATAAATTTATTAAAATTATAATTTTGAATATGCTCATAGAAAATATTAGTATTTTGAATTGTAGATTTCTAAGTAATAGATTTCTATACCATTTAAGAAGTACTGCACACTTCTTTTTATCCAAGCCCGGATTAAGGATCAATATTGGGACCCGGGACACCATACACTTAGTGGGCCCCCTTTCAACTTAAACTTCAAAATAATTGTATTATTACATATTAACGACTTTATATTATTGTATAATTTTTTAATATACAAAAAATATACAGGTGTATCTTATTATGTCATTTTAAGAGGGTTTTTCTTAACAATTATGTATCGATGATATGGAATTTCGTTAAAACAAAAAAAGATACGTGTTTCATTATATTTAACAACAATTTTTTTATAACATTTTTAAAATTTTTAAACACGCAATTGTACTAATATTAAAAACGACTTTATTTTTTCAAATGGTAACCACTATATTTTTTTATGAATTCCGGTAAAGCTTTTTTCTGAACATTTTGACAGTTTAATGATCAATTTTGGTTCGCTACTTCTCTAGGTTATTAACTATGGTCCTCTAAACATTAGTACCTACCTATAATATGCATTAATATAACTTTTAAATGAAATACCTAATTTACAAGAGCTAAATATTTTTTTCTTAAAACTACCTTTTTATATACTTAAAAGTTAAAAGTTAAATAGTTACATCGGTAATCTAAAATGTTCAAAAAAAACAAACAAAATTGTTGGTAAACATAGTTCATTATTAATTGTAGTATAATTTTTCGTGATATAAAATTGAGAACAGTTTTATTTTATAATTATTAATAATAATTTACCTACTATACCTACATACTTAAATAATTTTTTTTTTTAAGCTATTGGACGAGTTAAAAAAATATATTTTGGGGATAAAGATAAAGATGGGTCCCCAAAATCAATGGGCCCCGGGACCGTGCCCCCTTGGTCCCCCTTTAATCCGGACTTGGCTGTATTCAGTTATTGTTCGGTGGTGTGCGGTATGACGACTATTTATTTTATATATTTTATACGTCTATGACATTGTGTATTTGGGTAACATTTTGTTAATGTGTTTATAATAAAGTGTTAGGGCAGTGGAGTATTGAAATTCGCCGTACTAAGTTTACCATAGGAGTACAGGATAGACTATGTACAAATATGGTCAAATAGTCTGTGTTTTTGGACATTACTATACATTCAGAGTCAGACTGGCCCGGACCGTGCCCCGGCTTAATTATGGTAATTGGGGGCCCCTGATTTTGTACTTAATAATATTATTATTATTCGTTTAGAGTAAATAGATATACCAAATAAACATTTTTTCTAATCAGGAAACGTATTTTTGTTTACAATCTTGAAAAATTCTCAATAATTATTAAAATAATGTCATTATCATTATCATTCTACGAATTTAATAACTGTCTATCATGAAGACTAGAGATAAGGAGGCCAAACTCTACCACGAAAAACGTCCCGTAAAACATAGCGCACTAAAATAATGTCGCCATCAGTCTGCGTGGAGGTCAAGTCCGAGGCTGGCTCGGAGTATAATTAACCCGTATTAGATAGGGACATACTTGACTTTATTACCTTTAAAAAATTATAATTCAAAAACTAAAAATCGTATTTAAATTTCAATTACACCATCGTATTCAGCGCAAATTTATCTTTAAGAATAAATTACAAAAATAATATTAATGTTCTATATTTAAGTAATAAACAGTAAAAATAGGTAAACTGTTTCATTTACATAATTATTATTATTATTTACTACAGTTTGGATACTTTCCTGTTTTTTTTTGTTTTTTAGGGTTCCGTACGGTAAAACGGAAGCCTATTACTAATCCGTCCGTCCGTCCGCCTGTCACCAGGCTGTATCTCATGAACCATGAAAGTTAGAAAGTTGAAATTTTCACAGATTATGTATTTCCGTGGATGCTATAACACCTTGTCAATCGTTGACGTAATAGTTAATAAATTATCCATAATAAGTTCTTCATTTTTCAATGTTTCTAGTGTCGATTTTCTAAAGTAGAAATTAAACTAAATGGATTATTAGATGAATGTATCAAGTGGCCCTTTGATCGCATGTCTATAAGTTTGTCTCTAGATGAAGTCGAACAATCGTTTCTTAACCTAGAAAGACAAATTTAAACTTTCAATATTTCCTCAATTTAGTGTAATCAATCGGTATCCTAAATGGCTAAATATGAATCTACCACTAGAAAATAATATGCACCAGTTACCAGTATAAAGTATAATACATTTCTTGTCTTTATAAATAATTAAAATACTTAATTTAATAATACAATTTATAACGTAAATACAGAATATTAATATTTTTTTTGGTAATCTATTCTTAAAGATAAATTTGCGCTGAATACAATGGTGTAATTATAATTTAAATATGGTTTTTATTTTTTTAGTAAATAATAATAAAAATTATGTAAAATAATTTTGTATAATAATTAGGTATGTTAACGTAACAGTTTACCTATTTTTACTATTTGTATGTACATGTATTACGTAAATATAGAACATTAAAATTATTTTTGTGATTTATTCTTAAAGATAAATTTGCGCTGAATACGAGGGTGTAATTATAATTTAGGTACGATTTTTATTTTTTAGTTATAATTTTTTAAAGGTAGTAAAGTCGAGTATGTCCCTATGTAATACGGGTTAATTATACACCGAGCCATCCTCGGATTTGACCGCCAAGCAGACTGGTGGAGAATTTAGTGTGCGATGTTTTATAGAACCAATTTTTGTGCAGGCGGCCGAGTTTGGCCTCCTTATCTCTAGTCTTCATGCTGTCTATATCACGATTAAAGATATATCTTTAATCGTGGTCTATATAATATATAATTAATATTATATCATTGATTATAATAGTGTGTTATGACCACGGCTATCTACTAGATAACCGTGGTTACAGGGCCGTTCAACCCCCCCTTGGAAAGTTTATAAATTTATTTCAAATATTTAAAACTACTAATATATCTTATATATTTAAAAAATTTTTTATCAATAATAGTTATTAATAATATTTTAGATGTTTGTTTTGTTATTGGTTATAACTTATAAGTAAGGTATTTTGTGTATCGTCTAATGGTCGCAATGACAAATCACCATTACCATAACCGTTTTGTTACTGTGATAATTGATAATCTTATTATTTGTTCATGTTGATAATACTGAAATTTAAGATAACATATTAATTAGGTATTATCAGTATTATAGTTAAAACTTTAAAAGTTAAAACCGTGCTAAAAAAACTGAAAAAATGTTCAAAGATGCTCAAGTAATGAATGCCTTAAATTCAATTTTAATGTTCATTTTTTTAACTATAATTATATTTTTAAATAGAGATTGGCTGAGATGTTAGACTTTGAAATATCAGTCCAACAGCTGAAAAAAAGTCAAAATATTTTCAAAATTGTATGGTGTATAGGAAATGCTAATATAAACATTCAGTGAAATTTTCATGTATCTACAGTTATTCGTTTTTGTATTACAACAAAATAAGGAAATCGCTACATGAGAAATCGAGTGAATATCCAATGTTGTAAAAATTTGAATTTCAAACGCTCATAAAAATTTAATTTGACTTTCTTATAGACATTTTTTTTTTGATAAATGTAGATAATCTTATGAGGAATCTTGTATTACATTTTCAAATCTTAGATTTAAAAAGAAAAATTTTTACGAATGCTTAACTCAAAATAATTTGCTAATTTTAGTGATTTTTCCATATTTTGTCAATTTTTGAACTTTAAATGCTTATAAAAAAAAATTGTGACTAAGGATTTTTAATATTTTTTATCTGCCTTTGAAACAATATACTAGGAGCCTTCTATTAAATTTTCAAGCTTTCGCAACCAACAAATAAAATTTTATTGATATTTTTAAAAAAAAAACTAAAAAAAAATGGAAAATAAAAATGTGCCTAAACAGTCCAAAATAAATCAAAATATTTTGAAAATGTTATCGTGTATAGAAAATGCAAATATAAACAACTAGTGAAAATTTCATGTATATACGTTTATTTGTTTTATAGTTACACTAAAAACCAAAATCGATTTTTTGGAAAACCGATTTTGCGTAAAAATTCCCGTTTTTCCTTAATTTTTATGTTGTTTTTCCCGGCGCTTGTGAAAACTACTGTGAAATTTTTACTTTTGACCCCCCAAAGTACCAACTAGATTCACTTTCCTATCAGAAAAGCTACTGTTGAAGAAAATCCAAGCACTTTTACTGTCCTAAAACGTGATGACAGACACAAAAAAAAAAACAAAAAAACACACATCATTGTAAAATCAATACATTCATCGTTTCACTCTGCAGAATCTAAAAGAAAAATAGATCTGATATTATAACTTATAAGACACTAAAATAAAGATATTAAAATAAAATT